TTTTGAATAAACGCGAATAGAAAATAAACGTGAAATTTATTCGTATATTAATAGAATTGTTATTATTATTATTATTATTAATGATAATTGTTTATATTAATATTTAGTCTATTTTATTAATATGATGTCTCTTCGCGACGCGTTCGTGTTCCGCGCATATCAAAGCGCATATAAAGTAAAGTCTTAGCTTATTGCGATGTTAGTCAGCAGCAGTTGGCAGCGAAAAGGAGTTTCTCCTTGTTGTCAATTTTTGGCTTGAAGCCAGAATGTTAGCCAGGAGTAATGAAAGATGAGTTCAATCTGGCCAGAAGAAAGAAAAGAATCTCTACGAGCCCAATGAGTAGAATGAGTAAAGTTGATGCATAAGATAACTTTAAGATATCTTTCAGAATCCTTTATGAAATATGTTAATGATGTTTTTTATAGAATTCTTAAAAATATCTTAAAATTATCTTATGTGGCGATTTTAGACATTCTGATCATTGAGAGGTAGGTTGGTGTGTGACATCAATCTAAGTTTGTAAAAGGTAAACTGAATATTCGGGAGGATAATTTGTTCGCAAATTGCGAGTTCTTATATTTTTTGAGAGTTATTATATTATTTGAGAGTTATATATACAAAAAAAGACCAACAAAGAACAGAACTAGTAAGAGACAGCGCGAATAATCAAGCGCAAGTTTGATAGATTAAAAAAAATCTACAAACTTAATTATCCGCGCTGATTCTTAGCCCTTAGTTATTTATTAATTTTTTTTTGTATTTTAAAGAAAAAGCTTGTTTTAATTATATTATTGTTTATTGCTTATTATTAATATGATCGCGATTAAGTTATCCCACTGAGTTTATTAGTAGTATCGCGTAGTACGCGATAGAATATATAGTTAGACATTAGCTGCGTTCAGCAGAGAAAGTAGTTTTGCAACTGCTATAAAATTCTTCTTTGTGATTGGTTTATATATTTAAATCCATAAGGAACCAAAAGCAAGAATCAATTGTATTGATGAATTTTACAATAATCGAAAATTTACTTTTTCTGAATGCAGCCATTAACGTATGTTATATATTCGCGGTGTTATTGCACATTTATGAAGTAATGTAGGTAGGAATACATGGGTGAAGATAGTATCCGCGAATAGACACGAATAAATGAAAATATGGGTAAGTGTAGACAATAAGGACGGTAGGTAGGGACTATATAGGTAGGATGATAAGTATAAACAGGTAGGACTAAATACGTACATATATCATATATGTACACACTTGATAATTGAAAATAAGGGATTAAAAAGTGAATAAAATTTTAAATTAATTTTAAGTTTTATTTAATTATCAGAATTCCGTTCTAATTATCAAATATAAAAATAAATCAAATTAATTTCAAATTTTATTAAATTTTCAGCTACTCTAAAATTAAACTTTTTTATAAAATTCTATATACGTACAAATTATGCAACGCATAATACTGTAATTAATTTTATTGGAAATAAATGTATGTATAATAATATTAGGTACGTAATATAAAATTTATGTAAACTATATCCAGATGAATGCTATAATCATACTTACTTTTGTAATTTGCACAACGATTCCCGGGAAAAAATATTATATATGAACATATTTTATATATAATGATATATAATTGTATATAAAATATGTCAATTTTTTATATGATTATG